ACCTTACTAACGTAACGTACTTATGAATTAGTAGATATCATATTAATAAAAAAACAACTCACAAGCTGATTGGTCAGTTCGTGAGAAAAATAAAAAAATATTATTTAGCGTTTTCGTTTTAAATAAAAAAATATATATATTGTTATCCAATTTCCATGTTTCGAAACTCACTCAGCCTTCATTTACTAACAATACATAAAGAAAATACCATCTCTAGCAAAGATTAATTTTTTTAACCCCTATTGAGAAATGCAAACAACGCGAAAATAGGTGGATTGTGTTAGAAATTAACAACACGGAAAAGTAAATTTTATTAAATGTACACTAATTTAACCTTCATAAACGGAATAGCGCAGCTAGTATAAAATAAAACTATAAGATTATTTAAACATTATTTTTTATTGTTTACAGCTTATAATTAACTATCGTATGATACCGTTTAAAGCATTCTCCGACATGCAATCCCGGTTTTCTATCGCAAGTTTCGCATATATACGAAGTCTCTTTTCTACCACCTGGAACTTTTCGTTTAGTACAAACTGCACAATCCTTGTGTTTATGCTGGAGATGCAGTGTAATTATATGTAACGTTCCATCTAGTCGTTGTTCTTTGTCGCTGGATGATTGTCGTCCACGTTTTGCTGTTGTACAAAAGTCCCCCACAAGATCCAGCAACAGTTTTTCTCTGAATTGTTTGTGAAAAATTTATTGGTATTAGGAGGAGATGCTTTGTATAAAATATAAGCATTGATGATAGATGCTTCCACACCCCAGAAAAAAAGTTTCCTCCACCATTTTAGGGTTTTGCGAAGGAAGCAGTAGGTTGTTGTATATTGGTCTGCTAAATCGACGCGGCCCATCTTTTTATTATATTGTACTATTTTACTTGGCTTCAAAATTGGCTGCATTTTATTATTCCGAACTCTTCTACTTGTAACAATTTAGGATCTTGACGTACCCCACGTTGATAGCATAGACACGACACGTTTATCGCGCCATACAAGCAACAATATTTCGTGTTTGCGATAAGCAATTGTTTTCCCAATCTTTAATTTCGGTGATTTCGTCGAGAAAAC